GCCCACAGTGCTCTCCATGTGAGTCTATCTTGGTGCCCTTCATTCCAGACTACCAGCAGTCCTGTTCTTCAGCAGTGTACAGGCCCAAGGGAACCCTCAACAGGGAGAACACACTCCCTATGCCAGCAGTAAGCAGTGTGCTCTGGGCATGTCAATTCTATCTCCAGATCATCTAAACCCTGAAGTACTCCAGGTCCACCCCTGCACAGCACAGGCAGAGGGATGTTATGTGTCACCTCATCAGGAAAGCTGGGAAGGAACTGAAGCCCAGTGCCAGACCAGCATTTCCACATGGGAGGCGAAGCTGAACCAAGATGAAGATCCTCTGGGCCAACTCTGAGCAGGCCTTGGCCCAACTCTGAGCAGGCTCTGGCCCAGAGTATAGATAGTATTCTCCACCAGAGTATGGTGTCTGACTATCCCAACTCTCTGCCTCAGGTCTTGACCTCTCGCTGATCTCCCCTCCTCTTACAGACCCACAGTCCACCCTCAAAGCTTCTACTCTTTTCAGCCAGCCTGTGCTATTCAGCTGGGAAACCTCAGTCTTCAAGCTAGTGGTTAAAACCAAAATTCCTCTTGTCATTCTCTACCAGCTCTATTCTCCCACCATGCCAAGATGGATAAGCAGAAAAACAACAGTACAGCCCAAAGGGAGCTTCAGGAAATACTGTGTAAGGTGAAGGAAAAGCAGGCCATGTAGGGAAAGGGACAAACTCAAATCAAGCATTGTTTCTTTAAAAAGTTTAAAGTGAAAAATTAAATCTATACCCACTAAATTGAAACCCACCTTAACAGGATCTGTGGCTATGGCACCAAAGGCCTACAATCATGGAGTATCAACTCATCAGGATTTGACAAAAGATAGACACCAAATGATTTGGTCAGGATGGGAGCAGATTTCTCTTTTCTGGGGGTATTTCTGCTGCCACTTCAGTTCCCATTTCTCAGAGCTATATTAATCAAGCCTTTTCAACAAAAGTGATGTGAATCTGCTGGGGGGGCGGGAGAGTTAAGGACATAGAAGAGGAGCCACGGTTTCTAGAAACTAGAGTGTTAAATGAAAATATTTGCTGAATTCCTCAGACTTAGTAAAACCTGGAAATGGATGTCAAAATAAGAAGTAAGCCACATACAACTTACGAGTGTCAATTTAACAACACCCTTGTCAGATGCATGAGCAGCTTTTCCCAGACACACAAAAAGGTGATGGCTCTGTGGAGAGCCATGGAGGAGCCCCTGACAAGAGGTTCCAGAAACACTGATAAGCTGTGCACTGTCACGCCACACTACTTAGGCTTCCTCTCTGGCTGTTTTTATTTTGTTACACATTTAATTAAGAGCCTTCCCAGCAGTTATGTGGAATCCTGCTTCTGAAAGGCAATCAGAGTCCTCCTCCCCCATCCTGCCACCTGACAGCTGCTTTCTCCTCCACACCGTTCTCCAGAACTCGGCCTTACCATCCTCACCCAATCCAGCCACAAAAGCCCACCATAACCACCTCTTTGGGAAACTATGTGGTCTTAGAATTCAATTCCATTTAACTACGAGTTCTTATCTCTCTGAGCTTGAGGGGTTTTTATTGTTTTGTTTGATCTATAAAAGAGATACTACCCTCCTACAAAAGCCAAGAGTTATGAGGGCCAAATAATGTAAGGTTTGTGTGCATCGTAACTTCATTTTCTTTCATATACACTTGGATTCCATAATGCAGCCCATCTTCTCAATTATATCATTTCTCAGAGATGCAAAACAATGTCCCAAGTCACCAACATCTATCCTGGAGCCAGTGTAAGGCCCAAGAGTTGGCCAAGTACTTTATTTAGGCCAGCACAGGCCCAGCCCAAAGATAGATAACACCCTTAGAAACCACCTCTCCATCTCATGGGCAGACCACCTCTATGCTCAGGAGGCCCAGCCATATCATCTCCAGCCCCACGAACAGGAAAGCTTCCACACACACACATATGTGTATGTCACTCACAGTTACAGCACAAGATTGAGATGTGGCACCTGGAAGATAAATACACCAAAAAAGGACAAACAGGAAAGAATGGGGATTCCAGTGAAGCTACCTGGAAGAACTAGGCCTCGGCCAAAATACCTTCCTCCTGGGCCTGGAGAATCCCAGAACTCTGGGTGTGTGCATAAGTCCAGCCTTAGGACTGAAAAGCCCCATGTAAGACCTCTCCCTGCTCCAAGAGCAGACAGCTACCCTAGACACCACCAAGAATAACACCCTCTCCTCCTCACCTCCTCTATGGACTTCTAGACCCAGCCTGTGTGTCATCAGGGAAGACAGAGGCCCTCTAGCACAAACCCAGAGGAGTGGGGCTAGTGTCTATACCCAATGATCATGGCAGACGAGGAGCATGTGTGCTTCTGTGTTCTGTGGCTGGTTCTTTCCCCATAGTACCCATCCCCCAAAGCCAGGGTCAACTAGCACGCTTCACCTCAGTGTCTAAAAGGCATAAAAAGGACTTTGGTGAGAAGGTAATATCTGATTTGGTAGAAAATGGCACTCCTAGAGCACAAGAACCCACCCTCCCATACCGACTTTATGTTCAAAAGCATGTGCATGCATACACACACACACACACACACACACACACACACACACAGCTTACTGCTGCCTTCAGTGACAAAGAACACAGAGGTATCGATTCTATCAATCCTCAGCAAACATTGCCCCCACCACCTCCACCCTCCTTTAGTTCCCTGGGGGTTGTCTGAAGCCAGGTATGCAGGAGCTCAGTCAAGATGCTGAAAGTGTCAACCCAGCAAAAGAACCAGGTTGTCTGTCTTCACACCCAGGTCAGGAGTAGGAGACAAAGTAGAAAAAGCAGTGAAGACAAAGGAGAAAAGTAGAGGCTAGAGTCTTATGCTTCTAGACTTTTCTAGAAACAGCCTTTTATCATTCTGCTACCAGGCTCTCAACTATCACCAGGGTCTTGTATGCCAGATAAAAGCATAATACAACACAATAGTTAAGTATAAGGGCCCCAAAGACAGGTTGCTCAGGTTTCAATTCTGGCTCTGTGTGTCCTCAGACAAGTTACTTAACCTCTCTGTGCCTTCATTTCCTTTGCTTTAAAATAGGAATAAGAGGGACAGGGGCATAAGGCCAAGTCATAGGGGGAATGAATATAGCAAAATGCATTATACAATTACCCCTCCTCAAAAAAATGCAAAACTAGGGGGAGGGCAGGGCATGAGAGTAAAAAAAAAAAATGATCAAAATGTGTTATGCACATGTACAAATCTGCCAAAATGATACTCATTAATCCATATAACCATTTTTAAAAATTTTTCTAAAAGAAACTACTCATGCAAAAAAAATAAATAAATAAAGGCAGATTAAAATGCCTACTTAGGCAGACACAGGGACCTGGGTTCAATCCCCAGTGTGCACTGAGACGGCGTGGTAGCACACACCCGTAATTCCAGCACTTGGGAGGCTGGTAACAGGAGAACCACTAGGAACCTGATCTGTGTAGTGAGACCCTGTAGACCCTGCACTTAATACATACATATACATACATATATAAATACATAAATGCAATGTAGTTCAGTGTGAAGGTTCTAGGTTCAATCCCCAATAATCAAAATACCAAATAAAATAAAATGCCTCTCTGATGCTCTTTTTAAAAATGAACAGTTAGGCAGGGATACAGCTTAGAGGTATACTGCCTGCCTGATAAGCTCAAGGTCCTGAGTTCGATCCCCAGTACCAAAAAAAAAAAAGAACAGGATTTTTGCATGTCCTCATTGCTCTGTATCATTCCAAAGTTAGTACGTGTGCTGCTGAGTCAAACACAAAAGGGTAAATTTCTTACTGACAGCACCTGAAGCATGTGTAGCCATTTGCTATACTTTCCTATCTACAGTGTTCTACATGCAAGCTGTTTTTAATGTCAATTATTTGTGTTATTTCTTTAAATTTGCTATATAAAACACATTAAATTTTAAAAAACCACTCCAGATATCTTCTGATATAAACAAAAATAAATGCTGCCAATTTCAACTTAAAAATAAAATAGAAATAAAAATAACACCTACTCTTAAGATTGCTACACGTGTTACTATTCCTAGAACTTTTAGAATAGTAAGCACAATGTATATGGTTAAAATTTTTTTCTTATTTTTACTTTTTTTTACAGTCAAACTCAGGACCTTGCTTGCACTTGCCAGACTGGTGCTTATGCTGCTGAGCTATCTCCCTAGCCCACGGTTACAAATTTTAAAACCTTCTTTCAGGACTTCTTTCTGATAGGTTACAGCCCGAGTACAGACTGCTAACTTATCATGGCCCTGATCCAACATGGCCAAATCCCCCTAAACAGCAGCTTATCTTCCCACTGCCCACTTCCTCCTCCTTCCCCACTCCAGCCCTGGACACAGCTTCCTTTGACCTTTCCCACCCACACAAGGGAGACTCCAGTCAGCTCCTTGTACATCACTGAACCTGCCCCTCAAGCTCCGCCCCTGGCCAAAGTCCACAGAGTCTCAGGCTCCTTGTCTCAGGGCAGAGGATCCGCTCATCTCTCTGCCCTCAATCCTCTCCGTGTGTTTAGAGTTAATAAAGGCTTCCCTTCTCCCTATTTCTGCCTCTCTGCTATGCCACCACCACTGCTACCATCACTGCTGCCTCTAAAACCTATCACTTTCTAGGAAAATAACATGTAGCCCAGCAATCAGAAGGGCTGCATCAGAACAACAAGACAAAGCAGAGGCAGAGGATCCCAACCTGGCAGTCCAGGCTGGCCATGGCTGTGTACCCCTGCAGTACTTGGGAGGCCAATACAGAAGAACTGCCACATGCTCAAGGCCAGCCTGTGCCCAACCTTGCTCCACAGAAGCAGAAAATAGGCTCCGAGCCCCCCTCTGAAAGCCTCCAGGCCCCAGGAACACAACACCCCCCTGATGCCCTGTAGACTTGAACACTTACACCCCCAAAAGGCAACTCCTGGTCTTGCAGACTCCAAGCCCCAGAGCATACTCACATGACTTTTAAGTCCCAATCTCCACAGGTGACAAAAATTGACTTGACGTTTGGATCTAAGAGGCCTTCCTTTGCCATCCACTCATCGACCCTCTGAAAAGTACACAAGAACAGATGAGATTTTCCTTTTTTTTTTTTTTTCCCCTGAGCCCATGAAAAGCCACAACAGTGAAACACAGATAAGCTGCTTGTAATCAGAGCAGGAGAACACTGTAATCTTATCCCACCATAGCCCTGCACTGGGCTCTCAGCTTGGCCCGGAACTGTGGAGGCACTCAGGGGATGATCTCTTCAGGAAAAGGCCACAGCACAAGTGTGTAGAAGGGCACCCTCCACCCTCACGGTCTGGCAGCCCCAGGTCCCAGCAGCTCAAGCTACACCCTTGCTCTCCTGACTGCTCCTTGCCCTCTCTGATCCTCAGACAAAGGCACAGGCCAGCACAAATGGGCTGCTCTGGACCATGAGAAAAGGGTGGGCAGAGGCCCCAAGCAGGGACTCCACACACAGCTCTCTTCATTTATTTATTCTTTATACTCTTCCACCAAATGCCTACTGATCAAGTTTATGAACTTGGTTATTCAAATAAAGGTAAGGAAACTTTCACTGTCAGAGGAGGATCCTTTGGTCAGGCCAGAGCCACCTGTCCTGGCATCTGGACAGTATTCCTGCTGTGACTGCTAAGAGCTCATAAGCTGGCACCCAACTTTAAATTTCTCATTTTCTGGCTGAGGATTCAAATTCAGAAGAATATTTTGGAGGCTAAGCAAAATTCCCACATACAGAAAAAACTGCTGCTTAACATGCTTGATGTCTTTCTTTCCCTTCATCCCTCTGATCCATTTTATTTGCACCCATACTGGGAAGTATAAATACTAAAATCAGTTTATAACAAGAGAATTATCATTAAGAATTTATGAAGCACTGTCTACTTCTCAGATGATCTCAGGCATGGGGAAGGAGTGTAGCAGATCACACTTCAGCCTCTACTTATTAAGGCTCTATCACATTATAGTTAAAAATGCAGGATTGAAAATCAGACACACCTGGGTTCCAACCCGCAGCTCCTCCATATCCTGGCTGTGTCATAGATAGGAAGTCATTTAAAAGTCATTTAACCCCTCTGAACCTGTTTCCTTCATCTATAAAACAGAGTGGGATGACTCACCTTACAGAGCTGTTCTGAAAATTAAATGTGATAATGTGTTAAGTGCCTAACACAAACAGACAGTAGGCTGAGAACAGGAGAAAGACAGACCATCATAAAATAATAATAGATGGAACAATGGAAAAGTGATCATAGTGTTATAGGACCAAGAAGAGGAAGGGCTACTATGACATAATATTTATAGGCGTGATAATTCTGTATTTGAGGAGAAATTATGTTTAATGCATGCTTTCCCTATCAGACTACAAGCATAAACAGAGCCTCTTTCTCATTCACTGCCTTAATCCCTAACCCAGCACATACCTATTCAAAAGGTATCTGCTCATTGACAGAACCCGAATGGGTAAAAGTTGAGTGTAAGAAAAGTCTTCAGCACATAGGAAAAAAAACAGGTATTGAGGTTGGGGACTAGTCAAGGCAGGCCACAAAAGGCTTTGTGTATTCAGTGGGTAACAGAGTCCATGGGCATCTTTGGGTAAAATTACTTCTAACAGGCACAGCCTAGCATTCCAACACCTCTGAGACACCACAGTAGTGCGTGGGTAAATCACACCTTTCCAGGGTTGCCTGAAACAAGGAAAGTCAAATCTACACATGGAAAAAGGTGAGGTGACCATGAAAGCAGAGCTCCCTAAATCAGCATAGCTTTGGTGCAGCTCACCAAGATAACTGCCCCATATGCAAGGGAGCTCCCCATGCCCAACTCCTGCACAGCAGGAAAAGATAGCAGGACAGAATAGGTCAGTGACTGCAAACCTTGTAGAGACAAGTGCCCAACTGCAATTCAGAACCCACTCATCTATCACAAAGGACAACACTGCAATTAAACCTGAATACGGAGGTTTTAGTCTAGAAAAAATAACTCACACATTAACATCTTTTATCTTAAATGAAAAACAACAGGAATGGCATAGGTTCACCACCACTGGAATAGGACTATCAGGAGAGGCCACATCCTGCAAGCCCAGGTCTTCCCAGTGAGAAGCACTCCTACAGCACATGAAGCAAGCACTTTATGATGAGCTTGTCCAGGGAAGTAATGCTACATTTGAAATCAGGCTTCTCTGATTAAACGAATGGAAGATCCCAGCTCAGTAACCAACTCAGGGTTAAAGGGAGCAGTGTAGTCTTCTGGCCTTGCCAGGAACACCCTTAGGCTGAAGTCAGAAATCCTCCCTCCCCACCCAGAAAGTGTGCAAAAGTAGGGAAAGTATCTTGGGAAGACTGGGAAGATCCAAAGTCCTCTGGGCAGCATCCTGCTCCAGGGTCATACTGGGATTAGCAACAGGCTGTCTCCTGAAGTTCACATCCCTTCCTCAAGCAGGCCACAGAGAAAATACGCATTACCTCAGCAGCCCACCCACAGGAACCAGGCCATAGCTGGGGATACAGCCAGTTCACACACCAAAGAGGATGGGCCCTTCTTGCTCCTCTGAGTCTGGTCTTAAAGGGAGGAATTCTTTCAGTCAAAGCTAAGGATCTCCCTTCAAATCAGGGTCAGTGGGGCTGAAAGCACCTCCAGACCTCAACTTCTCCCAACTGACTGGTTAGGCACCCAGTCCCAGTGCTGCCAGGAGCCAAGCAGAGGGCCCCCACCTTGCCTGGCCCTGTGCCACCCAACCAGAGACTGACAGAGCCCAGACTCCCAGACTCCAAGGACAGGGAGAACGTGCTGCCACCTGCCTCTTGTACCCTGTTCCATGCTGAAGAGTCTCAGGAAATTCAGTCTGCACTTCTTTCATCCATGGGAAAGGATTATGGACTAGAGAAAGACAGAGATCTGAGCCCGTCTGCCTCCTGCTACTTAACTCTTTGAGGCTGCTAACTCCCCTGCTCCTTCTTCAGATACGTATGTGGCTTCTTCCTATACAATGATAAGGTCTGGGCTTTGGTTTATGGTTTATTGGTCTTAAAAATAAATAAAGCACCTAATGAAATACACAGCCCTCTTTCCTTCTCTCCTCTACAGAGGACAGTGAGAGGACCTTTTCGCCCCTTTCAAGCCCCCAGGCCAGAGGGGGTGGGTGACTCGCTGAGGCCAAGGCTGCCCTTCCTTGTTCCCCCAGGCTACAGCACAAGATGCAGCATCTTAACCTTTTCCAGCTCCCCAGGAAAGCATCCTAGAAGTGGGGTCTCTGCCAAAGGTTCTAAAGTCTTTAATTTGATTTCCCTCACATAGGCAACTGTTGTAATTATTCTGATTAAGAATCATTACCCAGTGCAGCCTCTGCACCCCTGACAGGCACAATGCATCCAGCAGCAAGCTGCAGTGGGGCCGCCACAGTTCCTAGAGGAGCTGACAGCAAACAAAAGCCATCGATGGGGAGTTCTGGGTAAGTTAATGAAGTGCTCACATGCCACAAGAAGCCAACACTAAAGCTAAACAAAAACACCCCCAGTCTCCAGGGCTAGTCCTGCAACATAGCTCAGCTCCCCTAGCCGGAGCCCAACCAGCATAGGCTGCCCCAGAGCTGGCGGCACAGGGACAGCCAGGCAAGGTGAGGGCCCTCTGCCTGGCTCCTGGCAGCACTCGGACATCTTGTCAGCAACCCTGACGGGAACAGCTGGAGACGACAGATCAATGGTTCAATACTCTCAACAGCATGTCAGTGATGTGACAGCAAATGTTATTCTAATCAAGCCATAATCATAGTCAAATTACACAGCTACATTCTCAAGAGGGAGGGAGAGAAAGGCAGCAGGAAGGGGTCAGAGGTCAGGAATTAAAGGTTATTCAACCTACCTCTAGCACTTGCTGCAGGCTTGGCTGACCATCCACCATGGCTTGAATAATCCCAGTGAGCTGAGAAGAAAGAGAAACAGGCTTTGGGTGGAAAACCAGGATGCAGAGACTCAAAGCTGGACTGGCTCCTTTCCTTTCTCTTTTTTTCCTTCAAGTGTAAAGGGCTCTGGCCTGGCACTGCTTCAGGCTCACAACCTGACTAGGAGTCTTGGAACGAAGTCCCAGGAAACCAATGTGAACTCCCCAGACATTGTTGTGAACTCCCCACAAAACCTGGACCTCAGATTTGGGTACACATACATACAGCGACCTGAGGGTGTGTCTCAAACCTGTTTTGGATTTCATTTTGAGAGAAAAAAAAATGTATTCTCTATATTCAACAGGCTCAATAACTTCCCATAAATTACACTTCCAGGCCTCACAGATGTTCCTATGAAACATGGAGAGTGGGGAGTGGCAGGACAGTACAGGGCCACTTGGTTTTAAATCCCTGATCCTGGGCCTTGCTGTCCAGCACCTTCCCTGCCATGCTCTCCATCACACCAGTGAAGCTCATGGGTATCTACCCTTACTCTGCAAACCTTGTCTCAATACCACACAGCCAAGCAGGAAAAGCCACCTCAAACCAAAAGAGAAACTGAGAGGAAAAGGTCTAATGTGCCAAATCTGGCCTAGAGACTCTGACTCACCAGTCTATGCTCTGCATAGGTCGGACCTACGTTCAAGTAAACTTGATTTGCTTTCTTTAATTTTTAAGTAAAAATATTCCTCTATCACAGACTAGGGATAGACTGACAAGGATCTGAGGCATGAGGCCCCCATTTCTCAGACAGCAACAAGAGATCACCATGGTCAAGAGGCCCTACTTTCAGAAAGAGTAGTATCTCAGACTTGCTTGGAAACAACTTTTTTTTTTTTTTAAGTAGAGAGGAAGGGGTTTAAAACTCTAATTAAAATATAATTACATTTAATGAATACCAAATACCCAACTCACAGAAACCGCCAACTCTAAGAGGGAAGGTTATTTTCTCATAGTGACTTACATGGAATGGTAATACACACCTTTTAGGGAAGAAATTTTCATTTTAAAAACGCTGAGTTCCTCTAGGTGGGTTTCTGTAGTTCATCAAGTCATTATTAGGTGGTATTTTAAGGAAGTGTAAGGACACAGCCACTCTATTTTATATTCCAGAAACTGTTTTTATATTAATCTGTATTTTAATTGGGTAACAGCTGCTGCCTACAGACTTCCCATGGTCTAAAAGGAAAATAAATTAGAAAGATTAACTACACTGTTGTTTCACAAAGCTTTAACCCACAGCATGCCCACCCGGCTGGCACCTCCACACCCTTTCCTTGCTTGGGAGACCAAAGAACTGCCCAGCAGAGGGAGGGCCTGAGTCAAGGAGAAGAAAAGGCTGGTGGGCTGAGGACAGGAGTGGGACAGCACTGGGCAAATGCCCTGGGTCAGTCAGTAGCTTTAATCTTAAAGTACAGAAAATTCTTCCTTTCAAGCAGTCAACAACTATTCTCAGACAGCCTACTGTGTGCTAGACTCTCTTCTAGGAACCAGGGATCTGGCAGCTAAAAAAATATTAAAACACTGTCTTCAGATTTGTGTTCTTGGCAGCCTTCCCTTACGCCCTCCCCAGCTAGTACCAGGGCCTGTCCACCTTCCAGAGCCACACACTGAGCATGCAGGCAGATGCTGTTTGCCTCAGGCATGTGTGGGCCAAGGAGAGTCAGAACTAGGCTCCTTCCCAAGGCCAGGTCTGGCGCCCAAATTATGCACAGACACCCAGGCACCACCACTGTCCACTTTGGCCCAGCTTCTCTCCTGCTCCCAGGACTTGGAAGACTAGGGCTTAGTGTCAGGGATGCTATGGAATGAGGCCCACAACCACTCTCACTTCTTAGCAAGCTCCAGAGTCCAAATGTCAGTCTTGTGTCTAGTCTGACTTTCTGGGGCAAGGTCAAGTCTACTCTGTTCAGCACCTTCCAAGAGTAACTCAGATAAGGTATACCCTGAAGGGCTGCAGGAAAGTCTCACTCACACAGGGAACCAATGACACCAGTGCTAAGAGCCCTGCTTCCTTACAGAGAGAGCTTAAGTCAGCACCACAAGCACTTCCCCAGACCCCCAAGAAAACCACAGGTGAGGGGTAGGAAACTCACTACACTATAAAGGAGAACTGTGGGCCATGCTCAGGTGTCCTGCTGTGGGACCCTTGACCGCACACCACCTCTTCCCACCCTGGGACACCACTATCCTGGGGTTTTCACAAACCCCACTCACAGGCTCAGCACCCAGTAATACCAACCTGGGAGGATCCTGGCTAGGTCAACCCCTGCTGTGCCCATGTTTCCCAGAAAACTAGCCTGACTCATTGCTGAGTGCCTACAGGAGCTCAATTCTGAGACACAGGTGCTTAAACACTATTCAAACAGACATAGCATTGCAGGGGAAAGTGTGTAACACTCATCCCTCCAAAAATGAAATGCTTCTTAACAGCACTTCCAAGACACTAGATGAACAAGGGGTAAAATTTAAAAAGTTAGTACCTTTATCTGACACTTGGAACATGTAAGAGTTGTGTAAGAAGCTGGGGGGTGGGGGAAAATACAGAATTTTATAAAATTACCAAGAGGTTCTATGCCTAACTTAAATCCTTCATGCTACAATTTAAGGTCCTTCCTACTTGGGTTAATATATATTTTTAAAAAGCTTTCACATCCTCACAATGAAAGTCTAGAGCAAAGCCAAGTATTATTAAGCTTGAGAACCAGGGCTCACAGGCTAAACAGAGCTCAGAGACCTTAACCACTTAAAGCGGGAGAGGTGAGAGGAAGAATTAATGTGTGCTCTGCGGCTCCTTTCACTGTGGGATTACAGATTAACTCCCACTTCTCCAGACTCGGAAACCACAAGGCGAGGGGCTTTTGACCCTGACTGATAACACTGCTGAGTGCTGAGAGGCCCCTGCCCACACATGGGCTTTGTCCAGGGACAAGCTGGCTTCATCATAAACACTAGCAACTACGGGAAGCAGCTCTGGAAACTCAGTGCCAATAGTGTGTCAGCAACCAGCGCTTTCTTCTTTCACAGTTTATCTCCAACACAATCGTATTCTGACACCAAGACAGTTTGTTGATTACATAAGCACTTGTCTCTGGTGCACAATCTGATAATCAGAACCACTCTTTCTCCTCACACAAAGAGACCAATAAATCTCATCCTTTATAAGTACAGGTGCAAGACAAAGACCTTTACTGGCATTTAGCAAATGGTGTTTTTCTAGTTTTTTCATGATAACAACAACAAAAAAAGATTACACATGGTTAGGGACTGTGCAGCAGCTCAGGTGCTACAGAGATCTGATGAGCTGGAGCAAATTCTGGAGGTTGTAGGGAAAATGAAATGCATCTCATCCTATCTCTGCTGGTACCATGTCTCAGGAAGATTGCCAACTGAACTTAGCAAGGACCTTAAGAAAGCTAGTAATATTCCTTAATGAGAGTAGGAAAAGAGTGTCTCCAAGCTGAAGACTCAAAGCAAAATTCTACTTCATGTCACCCAGCACTAAACCTATCTCTCTCCCCAAATAAGCATGTGAACATATGTGTGTGTCACATGTGAGTGTGTGCATGCACACAAATGCATACATACACACACAAAAAAAAAAGAGAGAGAGAGAGAGAGGCTAGGGTTCTTTTAAGAATATCTTAGAGCCAGCAAGATAGCTCAGTGGACTAAGCGCCTGCTTTGGCAAGTGCAGGGACTAGGGTTCCATTCCCAATCATGCATGACACAACAGCCCAGCCCCTGGGACATGCTGAGCCATGACCTAGTCTGGGTGTGGTGGTGCACACCTATAATCCCAGTGCTGGGAAGGCTGAAAACAGGAGGATCACTATGAGTCTGAGCTGTATAGTGAAAGCCTGTACCAAATACATAAATGAAAGGAAAAAAAAAAAAAAAAAAAAAGAATGTCTTGTGCACAAATAAACCTGGCATAGTGGCACACATCTGTAACCTCAGCATTCTGGGAGATTAAGGTTGAAGGGAGATAAATTCTGGGAGATAAATTTGAGTCCTACCTAGGTAACTTAACAAGATCCTGTCTCAAAGTAAAGAATAAAGAAAATCAGGCAGTCTTAACTTATGTACAAGAGAGAAAATCCTGCCAGATGAGTTACCAAAGTATAATCCAAAGGCTTGGAGTTGCTGTTCATACTTACTAATAAAACACTCTCTCTGGTTGTAATGACCTCTGCTCTGCCCACAAAGGCAGCTAACAGCAGGGTAGATGAGTCTCAACACAGCAGCCCCATCCTGTGTCCCTGTTTCTTTCTGTTCCATAGTTCCAGCTAGTATCTAAAGGGCACTACTTAGATAATTTGAAGCCTGCCATGATGGTGCACACCTGTAATCTCAGTAGCAGGGAGGCTAAGGCAGGAGGACCATCCCACATTCAAGGCCAGTCTGGACTCTGCAGTGAAACCCTGTCTCAAAAATAAATACATAAATAAATGAGGGGGGTTTAAAGAGTTTTTACTGACTTAAAAGAGCAAGTCAGCAGCATAGCTGTTATGTGGGGAGTCAGGAATAATTCCCTGCCTATATTCATTTATAGGACATGCATCAAATGTAGACTTGGCACCAGACCCTAATGATGGGGCAAAGATGGATCAGGTCTGGTGTATGCCATCACAGAACTAACTGTCCAGCTGGGAGATAGATAAATAACTCTATCCGATCAGTGCACTGTTGGGGTGAGCACAACCCAGCCTGGGGAGGAGGGAAAGCTTCCCAGGGAAGGTGACCCATGTAGAATGCCAGAGGATAAGTAGCAATAAGCAGTTCACAGGCAGAGCAACCACCACATACAAAGGTGAACTATAAGAGGGTAGCCTTTGGGTGAGGAGAACCAGAGGGAGATGAAGTGGGAGGCTGGCAGGCTGGAGAAAGCAGCAGGGATCAGGTCACAGAAAGATGAGCCTGAGAACAAATGGCTGAACCAGTCCCCTGCCTGCAACATAACAATAGCCTTACTTTCAGAAGAGTCTTCATTGCCAAGATTCTTACCACTGCTCCTACCACCTCCAAATGATTTACGTCTGTCCTTAGGTGAAACTATCTAAGAAAAGAAACAGTATTCCTCATAATCTCAAAAGTCCTCCTCCCCTCCTGCCAAAGCAGCCAAGGAGCAACAGCCACCCTGTTCCAGAGGAAATCCCTCTTGTCCCAGTACCCTACAACATCTACACCCAGCTGGAGTTGTGTTCCACTATTACTCTGTTCAGTTCCTAAACAGGCATCAATGTTTTTAAAATTTGGGCCCTTACTGGAACATTCCTATGATCCTATGCAGGAAGACTGCTGTGAGTTCAAGGCCAGCCCTGCACTACAAAGCCAGACCCTGTCCCAAAAAGCAAAAACCAAAACCAAAACCAAAAAAAAAAAAAAAAATCTTAGGCCTGTCTCTCTATGCCAAGCAGCCTCGCTTTCTAGGTAGCTAGAGCTCCCCAGGTACAGGTTGCACAAAGAGGATAAAGAATAGACAAGAGGGCACCAGAGTTCTGGGCCACCGGAAGGCCCAGGTAGCTGACTGGTTTAAGGACTACCTTCCCTTCCTATGAGGAATGGATTTTCTTCTTTAAAAAAAAAAAAAAAATCAGGAATTGAACTCAGGACATTATGCATACCAGGCAGGCATTGCACCGATTAACTATATCCCTGGCCTGGAAAGGATTTTCATCAAAATAGTAATTTTTCAAAGGGGCCAAAGAGGACAGATTAGCATGCCCTGGTAGCACAGGTATTTTCCAGGGGAAAAAGTGAAAACCAAGAGAGAAATAGAGGAATCAATCTGAGCCCAACTAGTTAGAAAAGACCTTAAGAGACTAACACCCAGGCAGATGAGTATCTACAACAAAAGGCCCACCTGGCGCAGGGGTGAACACCGCCATGAAGTGTAGGCACAAACCTCCAGACCTTGCATCTGGACTAAGCCAACCTTGGAGTCCACGGAAGTATACATACATGATAGACAGGCCATTCCCAGCTTCCCCATACCAAGGAGATGGTATGGTTACTCAAGAACTTCTCTCCTGCTTCATCTCATAAAGAAGGGAGATCTCTAAGTAAAGACATGACGTTTCTAGCATTCATTTCCAATAGTCCCAAAAGAGACACAGCTTTCCCATTACCTCTGCTGGCGCATATGCCTGACCTGATTCCACTACAGAATAACATGACACATCACATGGAAAAGCAGTCATAGAGAGCTGGAGAGACAGCTCAGTGATCTAAGCACCTGCCTGGCAAGCACAAGGACCCAGCCAGGTTCAATCCCAGGTACCACATGCCATGCCAGCCCCAGAATCCCGGTGCACCACACCAGCCACCAAAACCAGGTATGGTGGTACACACCTATAATCCCACCATTGGGGAAGCTGAGACAGAAGGATCACTATGAGTCCAAGATGCATAGTGAGACCCTGTACCAAATAAATAAATAAGATTTTTCTTATTAAGGAAGGAAGGAAGGAAGGAAGGAAGGAAGGAAGGAAGGAAGGAAGGAAAGCAGCTATAGAAGCTTCTCCACACAACCCTGGGAGGCAGAACCTTCATTGGCTCTTTCCCTCTGCCAATGGCTCTTCTGAGCCTCCAGCATCAAAATCTCAGGTCTAGTTTCACAATGTATAGAATGCAGTGAGTATGAACCCACTAACTAAACAGCTAAGTGCAGCATGAGCCCAATAAGGACACGTCTGCCTTGGCCAACCTGTCTTCTGTTTCATCAATGTCAGAATATGCTTCTCATAAACCTAAGTCCACACAGTACCAACCACTGAATGAAAGGGCAAAGCTAATATTATCAGACAGCTAAGAAATACTGAACACAAGGTTTCCTTTCAAGTGACAGAAATCTTACCTTTTGCTAACAGACCCTAAAGGAAATGGAATGAGAAAGAACTTGAGCCCCAGAAGCACCATCCTGTTGCTAGATCTCAACTGCCCTGTTACCAGAAAAGGTGGAGACAGTACAGGAAGAAAATGTTAAAGAAGTTATGGCAGACTGTACCATGACCCTTCCTTGGTGTTCAGGGAACAAGAGACTGAAGCGGGGGTCACAGACTTTATGAATGCAAACTGCCAGATCCAAAGTACACTTGCCTTAACTACTGATTAGATCTAAGGTTTTGCTACGGGACTGTAACAGAGCATCAGTGATCCCAAAGCTCCTCTCCCAACAGCCCTTGCTGCCCTCCTCCAGGGCCCTTACCTCTGTACAGAAGGGGGTAAGCTGTGGATGGACTACAGGCTGGACATACATGTGAAAGGTAGACTCAATCTCCATGGTCCGGCCATTGAGCTTCAGGATGGGGAACTCAATGATTTCCTGGAATGCCAAAGACATAGAAAAGGCAAGTTATTTTAATCAACCATCTTGAAAAATAATTCCAAGTCAAAAAGAATGACTGCTTGGGGCTCATTACTCTTGCCAGCCAAACCCAAGACTATGCAAGACGAGACTAGCACAGTTATAATCCTAATCTTTTTGCTTCTAATAGCCTCAGAGACTCCAAACACTGGACATGCCTCTCATCCAGTTTCTGGAAAGGCAAAGACAGTGATGTATTCTGCCCCAGTTTCCTCAATGAGTTCTCTAGCAGAAGCCTGCTCACTTGAGCCTCTGAAAGGGAGCCCACCCTTTTTCTCTACTTCAGGTCCCTGCTCTGGCATGGGCTTGGATCTCTAGCCACATAGACAACCAGCCATCTGACCAGTGCATAGAATTCCATGTAGGACATTTAAACAGAGGCAGGGAATTTATTCATTAGTTTTTACAAAGAGGAAAAAAAATGTGATAATAAAGCCAAAGGAGAAAACTGGAACACAAGTAATAGGAGCCAGGGCCTCCTACCTTTCTTTCAGGCAGTACCCACAACCCCCCTCCACCCAATCGCTTAGCCAGCCCTTCCCAGTCCACTGGAACGTAATGGAAAAGGAGGAGGAGAAGTGACAATTTGTTTGGTGTCTCTAAGATTAATTTGTCTCCGTTATTTAATAGAGATGCACAGCACCAAGGTCCTGGTGTGCAAACAAGGCTTGCAGAACACTGGCTGTGCAGCACGCCTCGCATCGCTCCTGGGAAGGGAGGGAGGGACACGCCAGAGCGGGGAGAGGGCAGGAGAGAGCACGTACACACCAGAAAGAAGAGGGAAGCAGGAAGAGAGAAGAAAAAAATATTGCTTTTTAATATTCAAAAACAGTTTGCAAAATTTAATCAAAGCAGAGGAAAAGCTAACATTTTTACTACTTTGACATTTTTATTAGCACTTTCATAAATTTTTAAAACATGAATGGAATTAGTTTACAACACAAAAAAAATTGCCCTGAAAACATCTGGAAGAGACAAATAGGAAATAATAAAAATAAATAAATAAAAGCAAAATCCTCCAACTAAAATTAGTATGTGAAAAAGGCTCCCACTGCAGGGGAAGTGGGGGGGGGCAGTGCCCATTCAGTGGCCCCAACAGCTTGCTCCAGGGGGGTCCCTGCCCTAGCTCCCCGTTCTAGAGGAAACCTCTCCAGAATCAGTAAAATCAAGGCAAATTGGTTCTCTGCATAGACAGCCTGGAGAAGTAACACTGCAGCTGATGACACCTGACGGCACTGAGGAAATGAAGGGTGGGAAGACAAAAGAGGTAGTCAATCTCGCTGTCCCGGGAAGCCAGCTATTCCTCTCTCCCTCCCCATGCCAACACACCCACTAATACTGAGCATATTTTTAAAGCATCTATTTCAACCCAACATATAACAGCAGGACTGAAAACCAAATCAAGGCAGTTAGGTTTCATGCCAGAGAGATTCAAAGGTTCTGGCTGCCTAGCCTCCCCGGGCTGATCCCCAAAGATGAGGAAGCTGACAAGAGCTTATTGCCAGATACAGGAAGGGCAAAATGGCAGCAAGGCTGAGGGAAACAGAGACAAAGGGGAGGCCTGAGCACTGCTTAGATGAGGTGAGACCTCTCCTCCAATGCGGAGAGGTAGACACTCTCCACTTTGCTGAGCATTTTGTTCTCCAACAAGCACTACAAAGCAGGCCAAGCAAAGAGGAGTTTTGCTCTGAGAAACAAATTTGAGCACATACAACATATACATTGCTCCTTCTAAAATATCAGGTATCTAAGATCTCTGAGGTGTGGTTTATCTGAGTCAAGCTCATTTGACTCCCAAATTTCTGATAAATCCTTCCTCCCCTACTAACTAGGAAAAAGACAACCCCCAAAAGAAAGAGCTCCATAGCCTGGTGAGTTTGGCTGCCCTGGTATCTAAGGAAACACATACAGCCAGTTCCTCACTAACAATGTTAGCTGAGCCCACAATGAAATTTAACCTGTGACACAACTGTACTTTTCATTTAAACTTTCATTTGGGGAGAAGCAGTGTTTGGAGCCCTGCAGTTTGTCCTGCTAATGAAGACAAGTGTTGGGACCTTTCAGGATGCCATTCATCTTTGGCTTTTATTAAATTCAATTTTCTTAAGCCCATGATACATTATGAAATTAGGAGTTGACATTCCTCTGGAAACAAAAATATCTATCAAACATAAATAGGAAAAAACCCTCTATTACCAAGAATTTATGGCTTAAGTTGATCTCTTTCCACTTTTTTACAAGCACATGGTTTGTTTTAGATATCTAAAATGCTATTATAGATCTGGAATTTCATTAGTATTTATTATAAAATAGTACACGTTTCAGCTCCTGCTCTGACCAGCACCAAGTCAGCATCCCCAACAGTATCTGAAAACTTGGCTTTGGATTTGCCTGCTACAGCTCAGTATTTAAAGTTTCCTGCTACCATCTCCCCCACCAAGAGGCAGATAAAGCCAAACTAAGTGCTCAAACTCAGTGTCTCCTTTGTTGCAAAGATGAAAAACAAGCCAACCACAGATCCATGAAAAAAAGGCACAGACCCTGAGGTACTTGGACACATCAGACTGGGCAAACCATAAATGTAACTCTTCAATATTGCTAGCTCATTGCCCCAAGACCAAGAAGAGGGACTTCCAAGAGCCTGTCTCAAAACATGACGATGGAGGAACCCTTCCCAGGCAGCAATAGAAGCTGTTGTAACAATGAGCCCACAGGGTAAATTTAACTTGGGCCACTGAGGATGTATAAGAGGAGCTTTTGATAGCAGACTTTCTGAGGACTCAGAGCAGAAGACTTCAATGTGGCTTTTGACCTTCCCATATGGTACTGCAAGTCCAGACCTCAAACTTCTGGCACAAGCACAGAGAGAAGCCCTGCTCTGCACCTAGTTGGTGAGATTCTACAGCAAGTTCATCTAAATTATGTCAAACACTTCTTGGACAGTTGCTAGGGCATAGCCCCAAGGCTACAGGTTGATGATATCAATTCCAACCCAAGGATCCATGACAATGTATCTAAGCACCAGCTTCTAGGTTCAGTTGCTCAGACAATGAAACTATTACCATACCCCTTACCTTTTTCCCACCCAATTTCATTATTTCCCTAGGAGGTTTTTCACAAACAGTTAAGTGCTTGGACAATCCTATCGCCAAGAAGGAAAAAATGAAGTTGTAAGTATTTACGAACCTTCTGTCTGGCCATAATAACAGTTTTGTGTAGGAATTACTTTGTGTAGGACAATCATACAAGTGTTAAGAATTGAATGTAGATAGAAGAGGTAGTCTCCGCACTTTGAAGAAGTACAAGAACTAGTGGGTGGGAAAGATGCATAAACAAATAATGAACATCATACTGTACTACAATACATACCTTAGTGTAGAGATATTCAAAGTGTTTACATTTTTACTAACAAAAGTGTGCTTTAGCAGCATAGGGAAGCACATACCTATAATCCTAGCACTCTAAGAGGCTGAGGCAGAAGGATCACAAGTTCAAGCCTAATAAGCACTTGCCTGGCAAGCACAAGGTCTGAGTTCAATCCCCGGTTCCATCAAAAAAAAAAAAGTTCAAGCCTAGCTCGGGAAATTTAACAATTCAAATGAGATCATGCCTCAAAATATGTAACAAAAAGGGCTGGGCATGTAGCTCAGTGGGAAGGTCCTGGATTCAGTCCTAAGTACTACCAAAAAATGAAGAGTGTGCTTTCATATACCTCCCTCTTTTAGCCTATTAAGCTGGGGAGACAGCTCATAACATCATCATTATCAGGCTATAAGCCAACATTCCTATGCATCTACATTGTACCAGGCAAGGGTTACATATAGAAACAGACAAACACAGTGAGAGGGTAGCAGCACCTCCTTCTAAGATGTTCAGTCAGGGAAAAGTGAAGAGAGGAGCTGATCTCCAACACACATAAAGAATGAAATCATTTCCGTTCCACTTATTGTTTACTCTGTAGTAGCACTGTACTAACAGGAATGACCTAACTTAATCCTCCATGTAACTCATGAGATGGGAATCATTACTATCTTTACTTTACTAATAACAAAGAAGCAAAGTCATTTGTTTATGACTATACTGCTGGTAAGTTACAGTGCTGGGACTTCAAGTGGGGAAAAAGACTAAAACTAGCAGCTTTTAAAGTCTGAAGGAGGCCGGCCAAATAGCTCAGCTGGGCCTGCAGTGCTGGTCTCACCCCCAGGGTGCGCTGACACAGCAATTGAAACTGGGCATGGTAATGAGCGCCTATAATCCCAGCTCTTGGGAGGCTGTAAACAGGCAGATTACTATGCGTCTGATCTAGTAGTGAGACCCTGAACACCCTATAGATCCTTCCCTAAAATATAAACAAATAAATAAATAAATAAATAAATAAAAATAAAGTCTGAAGGGTCACAAAAGTCTGATTCTCTTAGTCTGAAAGGCTATTCTCTAGAGAACTCAGCCTACTATCTCCTGAAAAGATGTCACTGTAATAATAGCAAGTGATAGCAAGTGACGTGGACTCCCCAGACAGAAAGTCCTCCTCTGGATTGCTACTGAAAAGCCTCCAAGATGGCTGCAGCAGCACAGATGGCACTCGACTGTGCACTTAGGGAGGCAGGAGCCTTGAGCCTTTAGTTTGCCTTGCTGGCACCCAACTCTCACTCAGACACACGACTCTCACTTCTGACTTTTGCTAAGGAAACATATAAAAGAGCTAACAAGTAGAAGATGGAAAATAAGTCCTTGGCTCAACAGAAAATACTCTCCTTTCAGGGGACCTTCTGCAGGATCAAGGAAGTGATCTAAAATGACAAAGATAGCAACCAGTATTTAATTCCAGATATATAACACCCCAAAACACTGTCTCCTAAATTCATAGATCCATCTGCTTTCTCATCCCTACGTAATGCCTTCCTTATCAGCTACAAACTACTAAATCCCAATGTAACCAAGTTTAACCAACTATCCAG